TTTTAAAAATACCTGCTTGGGTCTTGAGGCAGTCATCGATTTCGGGGGGCTAGTTTCTGTTTGCATGAGTCTGCAGGTAAAAAGCCTGATGTTGTCATCAGTTCACTGTTCCTCCACTCATAGAAGTGGAGTGCAGGTTCTTATTTGTGTTTTATGTTGCGACACAGTAGATAAGGGGCACCATTAACATTTTATAAGTGACTTTAGGGCAGACATAAAATTTTAATATGTTATATTTTTCAGCTGTTGGGCTGTAGTAACCTTCTGTTCAGACACAATTCACTTGGGAGTGAGAATGCTCAAGGAGAGGGATTAATTTTTGTTGACTTTCTCTAATGATGGAACTGGATGCCTTTAAAATGAGTAAACTTTTAAATACACTGGCCTGTACATAAAGTATTAATATACAAACCTTTCTGGTAGAAAGGCCAGTGTCAGTGTTTGGTTTCTGGAGGGATTGTACATATGAATAACACATTCAGTAAAATCTCATTAACAGTTTATAAGAGCTATTGCAGATCTTAAAAACCCCCAAAGCCCCAACTAAACCAAACAACATCTAAGCAACTGTATTTGTGTTAAATAAATCAGGAGGGAAAAGGCTGAATATCCTTAAAAGCGCTAGAGGGAGCTAGGAGGAAGAAGAGGGGAACATAATCGTTGAAGACATGTCTGCATTTTCAGGAGTAGCTTATATAAAGCATCCATTTAAATCCTTCCACTCACTTCAACTAAAATGCAGCTACAGGTCAGCCACTGCATCTTGCTGCTCTCTGTTTTCCACACTTCACTGAAGAAATATCAATTTTCTAGTCCTGAGAGAGGCCAGAAGCTTTTCTGCTTTTTGCATGGCTGTAGGGAAACTACCTGCCCCTTAGACTGTACCCCTTTTCTTTGGTCTCATTTCATATTTGGATAAGCAGCCAAATGTTAATTTGCCTTTGGGTGCTGGTAGCTGTTTTGGGGGGGATTGGTGTACAGGCTCAGTTCCAAGCTTGTGTCCCTCTGAGATTACACAGAGAGAAAACGTGTGTGTTGTATGTCTGTATTTGGGATCTAATCCATGAGGAAGAATTTACTTGCATTAATCTGGGGTGGCCACAGTGCTCTTGCAGGCATCTGAAGAAACTGAGTATTTGTGGATTCACAGAATAACAGAGAAGTATGGAGTTACTGTAAAGCATCTTATTTTATGAGGTTTTAGAAGCGTTGTTGGGCACTTTTTATGTTGCTCTGCCGTAAAGCTAAATGCTTTGAGTTAAAGTGTAACAGCTTTACGATGTAGATTATATAAATTACTTGTTTTTAGTTCCCCTCCACCCCAATAAACTGCCAAACTATCAAAATGTTGATATCTTGGGATTTGTAAGAATAGCATGAAATCTTCTGGGGGATGTTCTTTAGTTTTCAGGTTTTTTAGGGTGGGGGAATCTTTTTAGTATGCTAAAGCTACTCCTCTTGATATTCAGCATTACACAACTAAACCTGTTGCTGTGGAGAACTGAATTTTGATGGCCTGGGGCACTGAGCAATCTGGGGGGAAGGAAGGATGTTGTTGTTGTTATTATTATTAGAGGTGCTTAGGGCTGTGGAATGCTGGAAGTAATCTCAGAGGAGGTAGACAGACTGGAAATGGATAATTAAATAAGCAGAATTAATATATATATACCGTGTGTTTATCATCTGCTGCTGTAATTTATTGTGATTTCACTCATTGTTGAAGTTCCCTATTTTCTCTTTTCCACATTAGAAAATAAATGGTAAGGGCAGGAAAAATCATCTGGGGTTTTCTTCCTTTGGTCTTTATTAGATGGAATGATTTTAAGTTATGAAAGCAAGGACAAACATTTCTCAAAAGTACTTTAACCATGCCTTAGCCTGAGGACTCTGCTCGCTTTAAAGGAAACAAATATAATGAAATTTAAATATGTGGAAGCTGGAGTACTTTAGCAGTGCAGAGATCTTTTTTTCCATGTACTTTAGGACTGTAAATTTTTTTTGTCTATTTATAATTACATAATTCTAGATTTTAGATGGCTACAAATTAAGAATTGAAGAAAACATATTTTGGAAATACTTAATAACCTCTTGGCAACAAAACCCCCCAACAAACAGATAAGAGCACCAAGTAATTATGGCTTAATTCCTATTGAATGTTTCAGGGCCTTATCCTGTCATCTGAGAATTAACTCTACTTAAGATGAAACAGAGTATTGGAATAGCAGAGAATCCTTTTTCCCCTGCCCCCTTAGTACCTTGTTTTGTGCAGTTTCTTCTGCTGCAATGCAGGGATGGAGGCAGGTGGGTTTCTTGCTCTCCAGCTGTGTAGAGGGCTCCTATTAAAGCCCTAAAAGATTTCCTCAGATAGAAGATGGGAAAAGTTGAACTGTAATTGAGTGCAAATTCAAATTATTGCTCCAAATCAGGAAAACAAGCATATTTAGTCCAAAACAAAGGATAGTTACTTTGTAGATAAATTTCTTATACTTCCAAAAAGCTGGGATACTCAGAATGGTCAGTGAATACTTTATGGAGTGCAGTGATACACAAATTACCCCCACTGGGGCTCCTTATGTGCAACTAAAATACATTTGTTGTGATATTTCAATATTTTTTTGTGATAGTTTGATTTCAGAGTAACACCTACCACTGTTGAACTCCACGGTACAACAAAAAGTTGGGGTTTTGCTGTTGAAGGGATGGTGGATTTACAATAGAAAAGATAAAATTTTTCTTGGGACAGGTAGAGGAAAAAGTTTTTCTCTTAAAAACACCCAGGGGAAGCAATGATAGTGATGCACTTGGATTGTTGTGGTGCCTTAGGAAAAGCCAGTACTGTCAGAAGCAGCCCAAGGGTAGAGTGTTTATCATTTGACTTTCACTGTTTATCCAAAGGCCGAGGTATCTGATAACAAAGAAGGGCCAGTGCCAGAGTGGGTGAAAGCACCACAGGGCCCAGCACCCCTTCCCTCTCCCCACCCAGCTGGGACACAGCAGGCACCCATGGAAGGGTGCCCAGTGCCAGTTCTTCTCCCCAGCTCCTCCATGCCACGACACATCTGTGCAGGTTGTTCCTGTGCCTCCTGAGCTTCGTGGGTGGCTCACCCTGCTCTGAGCTTGGTGTCCCCAGTGTCCCTGCTGAGCTCTCTGTGGGGGTGGCCTGGAGAGGACACCTGGTCAGTGGTGGCTAATGTGAAGCCTTTAATTCGGTGCTGGAAGAATATTTCACAAGGGGTTTGGAGCAGAAATTGCCACTTGGTGTCACTTGTTGCAGTGCTTTCTGGTGCAGCGGGAGCAGCAGTAATTAATGCCAGTTCAGGGCAGTCCAAAAACACAGGGCTGCAGTATCTTGATGATCTGTTAGGTAAAGTGTGAGCAGAAATGGTGACGTGCTTTACTGATAAGTTGAGAGTACAAATCTGCTGATCTAAGGCTGGCTTGGTGCCTCCTGTGCAAAGGCAGGAGCAAATGCAGGGAGGTTAAGGGAGCAGGGGTGGCTTCTGCCTCTCTGGGCCCAGGCGAGTGGCTCTTCAAAGTGAGGATTTGGGATACTCCTGTGTGCTTCAGTTCGGAGCTGGCATTGCAAGCAAAGGTTGGTAGCCCTTTAAAAGGTGTCTGTTTCATCTGTATTCCTCAGAAATGAGGTTTCTTATGCACTTTTTAGCTGCCTGTAATGTGGAGCTGTGAATAGCTACTGCAGGTGAGCCTTACATCAAGATCTGATGCAACTGCAGCGCTGCTAACTCTGAGATCAGCTCCCCAGGCGAATGTAGTGTACCAAATTATTTTTAATAATGTAGGACTTTGGCTAGGCTGTGCCCTGAGGAAGAAGTGATGGGAGGTAAAGTTTTCCCCCCAAGCTGGAGAGCTTGGCAGGAAGACATGCTGGGCACACATCCCAGCTGGGAGTCGGCCAAGATCCAGATGAAGATACATTTTAAATCCCACCTTGAAGTGCCTATAGTAAAGCATCCTTCTTTCCCTGCTCTTAACAGCTGGGGGCACAGGGGACAGCACTTGCCATTCCCTTTGGGAATGCGTGGCGCTTGCCAAACCATAGTTGCCGACAGAGAAAAATGAAGCACTAAAAATTCCTTTAATTACATTTTGCTGTATCTGTACGCTTGATAATAGCTGTTAGTACTTGTTTCAGAATACTTTATGATTTTTTCTAACCATAGTTGCCGACAGAGAAAAATGAAGCACTAAAAATTCCTTTAATTACATTTTCTGTATCTCTATGCTTGATAATAGCTGGTAGTACTTGTTTCAGAATACTTTATGTTTTCCCCATCACATTAGCCTTTGAAAAAATACTTTGGGCTAATGTTTTTCTTCACCAGGATTTAATTTTTTCTCAGAGTATACTGCAGGTGGGTGCCTTTTTTATCCCCTCAAGTATTATTGTGGAAAAGTACTTTGATCTTTGTGTAATAATATATAGTCAGGCAGGAAGCAGCTTATCTGCAGCTTTTCTGCACAGGACTTCGCCGAAGGATGTGGTGCGTGAGCATGTTGATTTTTTTATTATCTCGTAACAACAACCCGCCGTTGGGCTCCCTTATTTGCATTCCTAGCAGGACGGCAAGGTGAATAATTTAATTCCAGCGGCCTGCGCCACGTGATGGTGCGAGGAGCCGCCAGCGATGCCTCCCCCTGCGCCGACAGACTTTGGAGAGCAATGGAAACTTACAGGAGTGATGCGAAATTGTCGCATGTCCTCCCTTAACCCTGGGGAAATCTCTCGGCGGAGTGATCACTTCATCCTTTGCTTTTCTGACGTGGAGTTTAGGGGGTGTGTGTGTGTGAGCCTGTGAGCAAGACGAGCGAGGGAGTGGGAAGCGGGGAGGGCAGCGGGGGAAAGACGCACGGAGCTCGTCGGAGCAGGAGCAGCGAGGAGCCGGGAGTGCAGCCGCGGGCAGCGGGGAGTGGAAATTTACAGCTGCTTGTGAGCGCCTGTGCATGTCCGAGCGATCCTTTCTGCTCACGCTTTTCCACAGGCTGACGGCGGGAGCGGAGCGGGAGGCCGGATCGCGGCATCCTGGGCTGTGCCGCTGCTGGGCGCGGGAATAAGGCGGGATTCCATGGAAGAGCAGTGACGGCTCCGGCGGCGCGGGCTGCAGGCGGGCGGCAGAGCTGTCTTCAGCACCTGGCCATGGCGCTGCGCCGGGCTGCCTAGGGAGCCCAGCCTTCCTCCGCGGTGAGTGCCCGCCGAGGGGATGCGTGTCCGCCGGGAGAGCGGGGAAAGTTGGGGGCTTTAACGAAACTTCCCTTTTCTCCAGCTGGCAGCAGCCTTTTGGTAACAAACCGCTCGCCTGCTCGCTCTCGGTAGTCAGGCTGGTAGCTTTTTATAGCTTTGTAAACTGTGTTACCAGGAGTGGCTCTTTAATGCAGGCAACCCTAAACAATGCTCCTCCTGTTACATAAGGCGCTGGCTCTGCGACCGAGCACTCCGTGTCCATGGAATATCTCTGGAAATGGCTTTATTTACACTGTGGTTTCCAAAAATAAAATATCTGCAATATATCATTTCTCCTGCTCCTCTCCGCGGGCTGCCTGCAGCTGCGGGCTGGCTCTTGAGATGCGGAGGAATGAGAGCGTGGCCACTTGCATAAGGCAGGGGGAAGGAGGTGAAGGGAGGATGAGCGAGCGTGTGAGCTGCCACCAGGAACAGCCGATGCCAATGTCCCGGCCCCTCGTCCCACCCAGCCCGTGGGTCCCGTCCGCTTGAAATGCTGATTCTGTGCCACGGGAGATTCATGAAGTCCGAATCAGGCAGAACTTTAATGGAGCTTAAGGGAAGTTGGGGTCTTTCCTAAAAGCAAGGCTCTTTCTTGGACTAATGTTATGAGTAAAGTGAAATTACTGCTATAGAAAATTATTTTAATCCGTTACAAAGCTATTGGAAGTAACACAGGACTTGCTACGAACTTGAACTTTATCAAGTGAATGCTGTGTAGAGAGGTAAGTTTAGTAATATTGGACCAAATACAAAAATAGTATCCATCTTCCTCACTAATGAATTTAGAGGAAGTCCTATTCCCTCTTGGCTGCTGCCTGTGTTATTTAAATTATGTTACCAGTTTCCATTATTTCTACAGTTACTATTCCTACTAGAAATGGATATTTAACTTGGTTTTCCTTTAACTTAAGTAAGTGAAAAGCTGTTAAGGGCCCTTCTGTTAGAATTGTGTGTACTTCAGGGACATTGCTTGAGAGAGCTCTTTCTGCATGACTGAGTTTGTGGGAGTTTTGCTATGGACTACAATCAGGCATGGAATTGAATTCTTAATCTTTTAGGTTTTAAAGATCTCTGTGGTAGCAAATGCAAACTGGGATTCCAAATATTGACTCATCATTCCTGCAAATTTGGTGTCTGTAAAACCTCTGGTTTAATATATTTCTAGTTTTATTGAATGTGAAGTAATAACCTACCACGTCTAGCTAGTTCATTAGCATGACTGGGAGAGCCCATGTGGTCCTGTTGTACGGATAAATGATGGTGGTGTGAGTATGGTGCCACAGGATGCCGTTTCTGCATGGGTGAGAATCTGAATGTTAGCTGGCATTGCAGTGTGCAAATGCTGTTTAATAATAATAATAATAATAATAATAATAATAATAATAATAATAATAATAGTGGATGTGAAAGCACAGGACTTCCAGTAGAAGGACACAAGGTAGCAAAATGTCCTTAACTTCAATTCTGTTCTCTGTAACCTGCTATAATAATAATAATAATAATAATAATAATAATAATGGATGTGAAAGCACAGGACTTCCAATAGAAGGACACAAGGTAGCAAAATGTCCTTAACTTCAATTCTGTTCTCTGTAACCTGCTCATGATAGATTTAGATTAGGTATTAAAAAGGAATTTTTTGTGTGCTGAGGGTGGTGGGACTGGCACAGGATGCTCAGAGAAGCTGTGAATGCCCCATCCCTGGAAATGTTCAAGGCCAGGTGGATGGGGTTCTGTGCAGCCTGGTCTAGTGGAAGGTGTCCTTGCCCATGGCAGGGGGCTTGTAAACAAACTTCAATTCTGTTCTCTGTAACCTGCTCATGATAGATTTAGATTATTAGGTATTAAAAAGGAATTTTTTGTGTGCTGAGGGTGGTGGGACTGGCACAGGATGCTCAGAGAAGCTGTGGATGCCCCATCCCTGGAAACGTTCAAGGCCAGGTGGGTGGGGTTCTGTGCAACCTGGTCTAGTGGAAGGTGTCCTTGCCCATGGCAGGGGGCTTGTAAACAGATGATCTTTATGGTTCCTTCCAACCCAAACTATTCTATGATTAGTATTTTGTTTGTATTGCCACATATTTATACCCCCTTTATGATCATCCCTGCCTCGTTCTGGGTGTGGATGGTGAACATCTGAGCCATAGCATCTGCTCCAGCAGCCCTGTCTCTACCCTCCTTCCATCCCCTTCTTTCCCACTTGTGCTGGTACAGCTGTGGACTGTATCTGGGCAGAACTGGACTGGAAACCTGTGTGACCTTTTTTTTTCCCCAGCAGGCTATTTCTTGTTAACCTGGGTCACTTCCCTGACCTGGCTCTCCATGTGGCCCTGCAACAGCTGAATGGCTCCCACAGACAGAGGCTGTAGGGATGTGAATACATGTGGAGCAGGGTGTTACCATCACAGAGCAAAGCATCTATCAATATTGATAGCCTCAGTGACCAGATGGCTTTTTGCAGTTTCATTTTATCCCCTGTGTTTGCTGAAAGACTGTACATATATACATATAGGGATTTTTTTTTCCATGGTGGTTTTTTTTTTGTTTGGGGTTTTTTTTTTTTGGTTGTTGTTGGTTTTTTTTTCCCTTTGTTTGTTTGCTTGTTTGGGTTTTTTTTTTTTTGTTTTTTTTTTTTTTTTGCTAAAGTGGCATTCAAACACTCAGTTAAAAGAGTTAATATTTTTTTAGGTGCTTCCGTAGACCTGCACCACAGCACTTGAGTGGAGCATCACCATGAGTGCCTTCAGTTTCATAACAGTATTGCACAACTGTGTGATATTATTATTCTCATTCTGTAGAGGTGATCAGATTAAGGGCAGAGCAGCCTACTTCTTTTCCATGTCTGATCTTCAGGATGCTTGCCATCTGCAAAAAAAGTGACATTTGTGGTGATGGTAGGCATTACTGTGATGTTTTGTGTGTTCAGGTGAAGTTTCAGCTAATATCCATCTTCATTTTGGGAAATGCAACAAGTAGCAACATCAAAGCTTATGATGAGTAAATTCTTGAGTTTTTGGAAAAATCAAGCTGCCAAGTAGAGAGGGCATTCATTCACCCTAACCATAAAACTGTCCCATCTTCTGTTAATCTTTTTTTCTCATTTGCAGTGCACCTTCCAAGATCTGCAGCTCATTGAGAATTTGCAGAGTAGTTGCTTGTTCCATAGCCTAGATTCCTTCTGCATGTCAAGTAAAATGTGGGTTGTGTGAGGGGACTGCACTGAGGAGGGTAAAAGGACAAACTGGGCTTCTCTGGGTGCTCACCACACATGGGGGCTTCCATCTCTTGGTTTGAGGACACTGCTCTGTCATTGCAACAGCTTTCTCAAATATGGCAGGAGGGGAAAATGAGGGCCTCTTCCATTATATGGAGACTGAATTACACAAAATGATGAAGAAAGTGTGCTAACTCAGGACCAGGACCTATGTGAGTCATAGGCACACTGCAGTGAATGGGAAATGAAGGTATTTTTTTCCATTCTAGAAACTCTTACATGATATGAGTGATTTAAATGTTTTTATTCCGTTCAACAACTTGATGAAGGTTGGGAGATAAAGCAAGACAAATGTCTGATACTCCGTGGGAAGGACATTTTTTCTCATTTATTTTTGAAGACCAAGTGTTTTGTCCAGAGGAGCATCTGCAAAGACTGCATGGATGGGCTCACATGCTCTCTTCTATTCTTGCTTTTGTGGGCAGGAAGAAGCCTTTGTTACTGAGCTGCTTCATAGTGGGATGGGCTGCTGAGCAGAGTGGTGTTGCTGTGTGCATTTTTCTTTCATTGTGCTTACAAGTTCAGTTGCACTATAATATTTTGAGGAAGTATTTGACTTAAAAGCAGAGAAATTGTGGAGAGTGTCTGCCGTCATATCTAGATCTCTTTCTGTACTTTATAGCTGTGCTGAATATTTTTTTTTAGTACATTCTTTTTATGAGCAGATAAACTGGCAGAAGAGATATTTTGAAGCTTGATAAAGTGTCGGCTTTGTTGTAACATGATCTAGGTTGCCTTCCTGACACAGCCACTGAATTTTTGTATGTGGCCTTGGGTAAGTCTTGTCATCTCTCTGTGTTTCAGCTTCTCCCTTTGCAGCTGAGACAGAATAAAAGTAGGTAGATAGGTTTTTTGAAATTGTGTTTTCCGTCTTTGTTAAATGTGTGTAGAGTTGGGGACCTCTGATAGAATGTATGCCCTGAATTTGAAAGGATGTTAACCTTGACAGGCTACTGAATACCCCAAAAGTCATGTAAACCACATGTCAAAAAGTCATGCAAACCACATCCAGCTCTGGATTCAATTCACTGCTTTGGTCCATGTGGTTTTTCTTTCCTTTTTTCCTGATTTGAACAGAAACAGGCTGACATTTAGAATGTGGTTCATTATTGTTTCCTTTTGGTGTTTCTGTGGCTTATCTAACATAAAATCTGTGCTATTTTTTTCTCCCAAACAAAGATGGAACGATATTCCATGAAAGTATTTTTGTAAAAGTAGAGTTTCTAAAATGTGCTGGACACTCCAACTCTGGTGTCTGAAATGTCATGTTCACGCTGATGGAAACAGTGGGCTTAGGAAACTTCATTTCCTCCTACAGCACTGCTGAGGCATTTTCCTCATGACTGGTAGAGACAAGCTCTGAGACCAGGAGAGTTGGTCTGGTAAGATACAGCCGTTTCTTTCCTTAGTCTCATAAGCTCCTCTCAAGAGCACCAGTGAAATAACATCATCAAAACTAAATGTTTCACAAGTTGGCTGGTTCTCCATTATGAATTCAGGAGTGTCCACAGTCCATTTTTGATGTTATGAAAACATATGTTGAATAACCATTAGATGGAAAAAAATTCCTAGAAAGCGGGAAAGAAAGGTGTTCATTCAGTTCTGTCCCTTGCTGCCAGACAGCAGTGTCAAAAATTTATGAACAGATGCTCTGTAGTGTGCCTGGTAGATTAGGTCATTTCAAAACCTCAAAGCTCCAATGGGTGGAAACCTTTACATTTCCAGCTGAAGTTTATACATCAGCAGTTTTTAGCCATTTGCTTTTGCATAAATAAAGTGTTATTGTTATTTAAGCTGAAATAACTTTTTCAGCTTTCCTATATTTTTATTCTAAACTTATGAAGGTGAGCACTTTTAGCAACCAAGACATGCTGGTCTTCCCACTTTTCTGGCCATCCAGTGTGCTTCTCTCCACCCACTCTAACCTCTGTTGATTCTTCTTGACTCTGGGTGCTCAGGGCTGTGTACAGTGTTCTGTATGAAGGGCTCTCTGTCAGCACTTTGTACAAAGGCATAGATACCCTTGGATTTCTACTGACCATTATTTTTGTGATTCATCAGAGATTTGCATCTGTCTTTCTCACATCTGTAAAATGCTTGTGTGTTTGTCTATGGCTCCAGCTGCTTGCTTTCATCATTTCTCATGGTAAGTCCTCTGCTTGAAGCAGATATCCATAGAATGGTTTGGTTGGAAGGAACCTTTAAAGGTCATCTAGTCCAATTCCCTCTATCATGGATGTCTGCAACGAGATCAGGTTGCTCAGAGTCCTGTCTAATCTGATCTTGAATATTTTCAGGGATCTGGAACATCTAAAAACTGTGTCTCCTCTACCATTCAGCATTATCTGATACTTTCTACTCTTAACTTTTATCCCATTATTATTACCTTCCTTCTTGACTCCATCCAGTTTCCCAGGTAATGATATTCCTGTCCTGCTATGTGTTGATAATATCTTTGTATTTTCAGTCACCACAATTTTTGGATAGGCTCTTAATTCCTATGCCTCTCTAAATATGATCCCATCCACAGATTTTTCTTGCCTTCTCAGTCAGATGATATGATAATTTTCTTCTTAAACTAATTTTTTGGTACTATATTCAAATCAGTGCATTTCCACATTAGATATGTGGATTCTACTATATTTCCTCTGTTTAAAATATATTTATAAGGGATTGTAGTATGAGCTACCTTTGGTGAGCCTGTGTTGCACTTTTTTCAGTTGTCACTCATCTTAGTTTTTCAGTTATTTTTAGACTGGTTTCTTGAGAGAATGAAGCTTATGTGGTCACACTGTCCATTTCTCATCCTAATTCTCTTCTCATGGTAACTTTTGAACTTACTGTGAAATTTCAAGCAACCTTGACAGAGGACTAGATGCCTGGAAAAAAACAAGTTCCAAAAAACATACTGAAAATAACTTATGTAAATAACGGGGCCTCTGAACCAAATTAGTGCCTCTACTGAACAGAAAACTTTTCAAGAAAAAGCTTAGAGAGCAGAGAGCTGGTACAAAAAGGAGGACAGGACAGAAACTCCCAGCTGTGATAAAAGCTTCTTTAATAAGAGCTTGTGCTTTCTTTGATTCTGGAAACTCCAGCCATGGAGAGCAAAGCTGGAGGAGAGGAGTCCTTGTTTTGCCACTTGCCTTATTGGATAGCCAGCCATAAGACTAAGGAATACAACTCCCAAATCTCAGCAGAGTGACTTTACCCCCATGTGCTTCTGCCTGTAGTTGTGGGCAGCACGTGTGCCCCTGGAAGATTCCTGCATGGGCAACCAAAAGGTTCTGCAGCTGCCAGTATGTATTTTCTGAAGTGATGGAGCATCTTCTACCAGGTTAAAAACTGTATCCTGAGAAGAGACAAATCAAAAAATGTTATTTCAAGCACATCTGTGGCTCTTCTCCCTTTGCTTTGTATCTAAAACTTTGTATCTAATGAAGTAATGCAGAGACTTGGCTCTGTTCAACAGAGCAATGAATTAAACGGTTTCTTGAGTCCCTTCCTGCCCTCTCATTGGTGTTTTTGCTGTTGTGATTAAGATGCTGGTAGGGTGTGTAGTGAGAAAAAATGGTATTTTATCACTGAGCAGTGCTCTGGTGACTTGCTGGTGATACTGGGACTATGCAGTGGAAAAGTGCTGGTTCTATGGCAAAATTAGTGATTATTTTAAATACAGACACATTACTCTAGACAGCCATGTAAGTTACTTTTTGAGAGGAAATAATAGTTTATTATCAGCATTTCTGTTAGAAATGTGAACTTCATAATTTAAAAATCTCAGAACCTCCAGCTCATGAGTACTTAATTTAAAAATCTATTTATCTCCCCCTTTGCTTTTCTTTGTGTGAAGACTTCTGAGAAGAAAAGATGACTTTAGCAATCTGAATATACCTACCCCACCCTGGATGAAAAGAATTCTTTTCTGAAATACCACTTGCCTGTTAAGCTCCCGATTTCAGACTCTCTCTGTCTTGCATCATCACATCCTCATGTCATGCCTTCAGGATAATAAAAACATGCAGAATCGGGTCCTTCTCAAAGTGTCTTGTGCATTATTAATCTCCTATTTGCACCACATTTGGGACTACGGAGTGCTTGGTGCTTGCTAGCGGCATCTAAACAGCTTTATTGTGGCATCACAGTCTTTTCCAGTGCTTGTGTGTGCCCCAAAGGGTCACTTGTTAGTACACCCAGGCTTCAACCTCGCTCCTTGTCAGGCTGAGGTGGGACTCTGCTCTGGTCACTGCTGCTGCCAGAACTTGCACCTCTGAGCTGCATGGCAGCAGGACCCTGCAGCTGGGGGCTCAGCTGAGTGAAGGTCATGTAGCCAAAACTGGAGAAATAAAAATGAGTTTGAACAGGACCGTGAGGAGCTTGAAAATGGGAACTTGAGAGTGGTGAGGTTTCAGGCACTGAATGTGAAAATAACCCTGTAAAACTGAACTAGCAACAAATGAGAAGCTATATACAAACTCACCTATTTTGGGCACTGTAAAAGAACTTTTGGTTTAAATAACATCCAAAAATATTTCCTGTGTGTCATAGAAACTCTTCTTGTAAAGATACTCTGCAGAAGTGTTTTGAAATTATTTTAATAAGCTATTAGGACAAAATCTGTATAGATTTTGCTTTTATAGTTTGAATTAATTTTTTATTTGGCTGTTTTATATGGCTACTATTTATAGTTGCAATAGAATGTATGCCTAATCTGGGTATTAATTCCATAGGTTATTTGGGGATTAGTAACACATGGATGTATGGCTCAAATGGGATCATATTTCCTGATGGACTCTGTAGTGTGCCCATAGTAACAATGAAGCATGAGAGGAGCTGGTTCTTTGGGACCACTGGGTTTTCTTTACACTGTGTGTATTGTGCTTCTTTAGTTTTCTTATTTGAAACCTCTCGTATAAAGCTTTTTTTAATTGCAAATTTTGGATAATAATGGGATTGAAGTGGTTTGTGTGTGTATTTATGCTTTCACAACTAATTGTAATTGTGTGTGTGGAGGAATTGTGATATTTTTCTTTTGTTGTGGAAGGAGATGAAAGTTTGAGATTATTTTTTGGTTTTTGATTTTTTTTTTCTTTCCTTTTACCTCTTTTTTATTGTACAAACGGGAATGCAGTCCAGAACAGTGCTGAGCTTCTGAACCAGAGCATATTCCCATCTGTAGTCAGTCATTGACTTCAATAGATCTTTGTATTGGACCCTCAGCAAAACCCATAAGAATTCACAGCCTAAGCAGAAACTGAGTTGCTTGGTTTCTTTCATATAGAAATACAGTGATGTAGACTTTGCCTTTCTAACCATATAGAAGAAGAATGTTTCAAATTAAACAAACAATTGATTTTCATTAAAATTCTCAGTCTGTCATTTAAATGTAATGAATGTGTTTATGTTTATATTTGGGCCTGATCCTCTGTTCTTTATTTAACTCAGGCAATATTTAGATGAAAGTTTGAGATTATTTTTTGGTTTTTGATTTTTTTTTTCTTTCCTTTTACCTCTTTTTTATTGTACAAACGGGAATGCAGTCCAGAACAGTGCTGAGCTTCTGAACCAGAGCATATTCCCATCTGTAGTCAGTCATTGACTTCAATAGATCTTTGTATTGGACCCTCAGCAAAACCCATAAGAATTCACAGCCTAAGCAGAAACTGAGTTGCTTGGTTTCTTTCATATAGAAATACAGTGATGTAGACTTTGCCTTTCTAACCATACAGAAGAAGAATGTTTCAAATTAAACAAACAATTGATTTTCATTAAAATTCTCAGTCTGTCATTTAAATGTAATGAATGTGTTTATGTTTATATTTGGGCCTGATCCTTTGTTCTTTATTTAACTCAGGCAATATTCTACACCAGTGAGATCTGACCCACAGATTCTTGAAGTCTGTCAGATTTAGGGGATAGCTTAAACTGCTTCCTCTCAAGGTCCCCTAGGCTGTCAAAGCAAAGCAGCTGCAGAAGAAGGAGAGATGGCAGAGAAGCTGGGACTGCAATTTGCAATGCTTTAAACAAAGGGTTCTTTTGCTGTGCTGGCACCTACAGTTGGATTTCTGCACTGTGATGGAGCTGGTGAAGTCTGACAGAAACCCACATGGGAAATCTAGTGCAGCCTGCCAGATGTGGGGTGTCCAAAATACCTTGGACATAGGCATGGACTTGCTGGAGTGCTGACCTGTGGGTCAGAGCTTCCTGCAGGAAGCATCCAGCTCCTGTGCAGGTGCTGAGTAGTTGCTTTTCATGTTCTAATGGTGCCTTGTGAATCCTCAATGAACTTGCAAGACCTACACATGAGAGCTTTCACTGCTCCACTGGGTGGCTGAAGCAGAGTGTAGTGCCTGAGGTGCAACATTTTCTTATTCAAAGTGCTATGTGTGGTTTTATTGCATTTTTGTATAAATCTTAAAAGCTGTTTTTGCTTGTTGTTTGATTTAAGGCAGTCCTCTTCTATCCTGAAGGAAGAAATCCAGGTGAAGGAAGACCATGCCTTTGTTTAGTAAATCGCACAAAAATCCTGCTGAGATTGTGAAAGTTCTGAAAGAAAACATGGCCATATTGGAGAAACAAGAAAAAAAGACAGACAAGGTATGAGGTAACGTTGTAGAAGACCAATAAGGTTTCTATGCTGGGGAACAGCGGAATAATGGGAATAACACTGTGTTTGGTCACTGCCATGACTCTGTGAGTGCTTGCCTGTGGATGCAGCTGTGTGTTTGAATGGTTCTGCTGAAATCAGGGGGCTTTTGCATAAATAAAATACATAAAATCTGGGGCTCAGACAGAAAATGCTGAGATCCAGGAGCCTCAGCCAAAACAAAGGGTGATCTCTCACTACTTCAAACAGTAATGAATCCAGCAAAACAGCTTGGAAGGCTGTGTGAAAACTATTGTACTGTTAATGGTGTTAGCAGGATAACAAATGAGGTCGCCAATTAATGTGTAGGTACCCACAGAAAAAAAATCTACTTCTGATGCATGCTGTTTCCAGAAACCAGGAAATCTGTATGTGTCTAGATGTGTATAAAAGAAATCTCACTTTGTTCATCCTTTGTAATGTTCTGGGTGCCAGTGCTTCCTAAAAGAGCTGTGCTACTCATTTTCTATTTATAGTGCTAGGCTTTTCCTAATATTACTGCTCTCTTCTAATTCCATGACACAGACTCGAGTTACTTTTGCTGCTTTTCCAGTGACCACTTGATAAGTACAACCCAACACACAAAATCCTCCCAGTTAGGAATTTGAGCCTGCATAATTTTTTTACATTTTTTTTAAATTTATTTTTTGCATCTGAGATTCTGGCCCTCTACACTATTGCTGTGGTAGAAGTATATGGTTTTAGTTAACAACAGACTAACTTTTAACTTAAAGTGATTGCCAGTGGAAGCAGAAATAGCTGATAAGAGACACTAATAATTTTCCATGGAGCTGATGTTTGCATGCGTGCATGTTGCACTTCCCCCACCTTGTGCAGGAAGTTGTATGAAAACAAACCCAACCCAAAACGTAGCCCTTTACACCCTTGGTGAAATCCTCTTGAAACTTTTTGGTTCAAAGCAAGTAGTTCAGAGTGTGTTAATTATGTAAGGTAAGTCACATGGATTTCTGGGAGGTCTCTGGTATTTGATGTTTCATTCTGAAATACCTTCAGTAACCTGAGAGAATTTGACTCTGAACTAAAACATAAAATAAGTAACTAAATAAATCAACAGAATCTGTTCTGCCCTGCTGAATTCATCCTTTGGAGCCTGATAAAAGAAGACTTTCAAAGCAGAAATTCCATACTTGTATTTCTTTTTGATCTGCTTTGCAAAGTGACTCCTTAGGGTTGTGGGTTTGAGAATTTTTGGCTTTGAGCTGGTTTGTATATTTGGGCGTCAGTGACAAGGAGAAATTCAGACTTCTTAGAAAACGGAGTGCTCAATGTAAATTTTTTGTGGAAGTCAGAACAGCTGGTGTGTGTTTTCCTCACAGAACAAAAGATACAGAATGTTTCCCTGGCATATTAGAATGGAAACAGCTCGTGAACTTACTGGTGCTTATTTTACAGGAAAGGGCTGATTTTCACTTAGTTTTTGTGTACTTCATTGCTGTGGGGTAGAGGCTGTTCCTGGGGTGAATGGGGGTGATCGGGGGAGATGAGAGAGGGGGACAAGGCAGTCCCTTCAACAGCAAGGCAGAAGGTGAGGAAAGCCTTTGTTTAGATTGGTTTAAGCTTATGTGGCCTGTTGACTCAGGACTTTGTGCTGTGATGTCAAGGAAGCACATAGTGTCCTTTTCCTTGCAGAAGGAAGGGTTTGAGAGTCCTTGGCAGTGCTGCCTTTCATCTAAAGTGTTCCACTGAGCTGTCCTGAAATAAATACCTGTTAAAGAAAATAGCTAAGTTTATTCTCCTGAGTTTATGGAAGTAAATCATAAGGACTATCTTTAGTACTGAGATGGTGATAAACCTTAAAAACTGGCAGGAAAAATAGCTCTTGCAAAACCACCCAGCCCAATCACACCTGCTGCTATCCATTCAGGTTTGTGAACTTAGTAATGCCATTTCTAAGTGTTGTTTGCCGTTTGAGTTGGAGAAGACAATGGGAAAACTTTCAGTGGCCCACAGGTTTTCAAAATATACTCAGTAATGCTAATGAGTAGTGTCTTTTCATGAGAATGATTGGAGAAATGCAACTGAAAACAAAAGCAAAGAGAAGCAAAGCACAGTGCTGTACTCTGTGCTCTTGAAAACCTAGCAAGGTTTTTAACTTTACCTCCAATTTGATTTCTGGAGGGAGAAGAAATTTGTCAAACTTTCATGAAAGGGCCTAGTGGTTTAGCCACTGCAAGAGCCAGAGACCCTGGATGTCTCAGAGCTGGGTTTGGACCCTGTAGCCCTGTGACCTGAGAGGTTTGCAGCTCAGGGCTGTCCAGTTTTTCAGATTTCTAGCTCCTAGTCTGCTGTAAGAACTAAAAGAGTATTGTTATGCCTGACCATAAAACCAAGGCTCCCAACACTTCCAGGGTACAACTCCAGAGCATCCCTGATTTTGCGTGCAAAGTAGTTTCCAACTAGGACTTGCTTCAGATGCTTAAACAAGAAGATTTATCCTGTGACAATTAAGCTGTTATTGTAGTACAGTCAATGTGGTATGTGGGCTGAGACAGCTAAAAGCTGCTAATACAGGCAGAATTGGCAGAGAAGTGGGACAAAGCCTGAATTAACTGCAGGGCTGGCAGAGAACCTCCTTTCCTTTCCCGCTGAGAAATCATATGAGGTGAAGATGCCATGGGCAGCCAGGAGGGCACAAGGTCAGACAGAGAGGGGCTTGATGCTTCTAATAGAGCTTTGTGCAACTTTCAGCAGGAACCATCTGTGTCTGAGAGGGGATGCTTTAAATAATGCAGAAAGGATCATTCCTGCCAAGCTATTCAGTGCACAGGTAGGGAACTTTGCAGCAGAGCAATTAAGACTTCTCAGGTAATGGGAAGAGGGTGGAGGATATAACTTGATAGACAGATGCAGGGAAGCCAGTTGCAAGTATAATTCTACATCTTTTCCAAGGCATTTACACATGCACACACAATACACAGAGGTTTGCACTCTTCCTTCATGATGCTTTTTGTTACTCATGGAATAGTACCCATTCAAGCTTTAACTAAACTCTATTGACTGCACTAGCATCTGTCTCCTTAGATAAGGATTGAATTTGACCCACTTTCTCCACGTGTCTAATGTTTTAAAAACTATTAATGTGTGTTGTGTTGCTATAGTGCTTTCTGATGCTTTTTAAACACACCCAACTGAAAAACGGGCTAAGTGTTGATGTTTGGTTCTTTTTTATGTGGGCTTTCTTGTTTGTTTGCTTGCATGGATATTTGTGTGCTTAAAGCTTTGCCATTTTCTCAGCTACATTTTGATGGCTGATAGACAACAGGTTGAGAAGTGCCAACACATCTGGCTCCTTTTCTTCTGAAGTGCTCTTTCTAAAACCTTGTTTTTACAAATTTTTAAAAATAATATTTGTTTTAAAGAAGGGATTGCAGCACTGGCAAATTTAATGCAATAATTGGGAGATTAAGTAGAGTAAGACAGAGCTGAAAAAGTGGACTAAAATGTTCTTTATCAACAATCCTCCTCTCTTCCAACATCTGAAATAAAATAGGGCATTCTTGGAGCATATACAATTGCTGACATCCTGTTGGGGCTTTGATGTGGTGAAGAACAATTAATTAAGTTTTATTGCAGTATTATATAAATGTCATTACAATTTAATCCCAGCTATGTAGAACCAATCAGTCCTTGAATTTAATGAGAAATGCCCACTCTGGAACTACCTAGAAAAGCAGGAAATTATTTAAATACATAGGAAAGAAGGGCTTCAGAGCTTAGGCTCTCCCTTTTTAGTGGCACAAAGTCCTATAGCATTTGGAGGCTGCATGTGAATAGGGATGAAGAGAAGAGAAGCCACAATACCAAAAGGTCATACCTGCTGAACCTGAGGAAGAATGGACAGCGTGTGACACTCTGGTCACACTGCTTCATTTATTGCTGGTGTGTCACCGTGTCTTTGTTGCTGGCTAATTGTAAAGGAGCATTGATAGAAAGGGTGCCTGACCGACCTCACAAAAAACGAGGTGTGACACCCTGGCTTCTCAAAGCCTTGTGTTGAGGTGCTGAGCCAGAACACAAAGCACAAAGCAGTGTGGGTGGCATCCAGTTTGTCCCTGCAGGATGTCCTTGAGCACATCACCCTCCCCTGCTAACCAAACACCTTTGGGCGCGGCAGCCTGACTCAGTGCCATCTGTGGTGCCTACAGGTTTGGTAACATTTTCTGAGCCTGCCCTGCAGCAAAAGCCTTCCAAGTGTCACAGGCTTTTAATTGAGTGCAGCAAACGGATCTGAGGTTGGTTGAAACTTGGTCTAATCTTTGCATGTGGTCTAGATGGGCTGAAAGATTCGCAGTTTCTGGTAGAGCTGATCCAAGACAAGGGTTTATTGTGGAAAATGAACCTAAATGCATTAGAGCAGGTTCAGAGCACTGTGCTGAGTGCTTTCCTGTCAGGCAGAACTGCAGGCTGCAGTGCCTTTAGTCAGTGTTCAGAAGCATAGTGAAGTGAGATGTAAAAATAACCTGAAGTGTCGCGCTTCTGCCCCTTTCACTTAAATCTCTCTAACAAGACTTCTCCTTCAGGTAGGTCACTGCAATCTGTCCTCCCTTTCATCTCCACTTGCTGTAACAAATTTGGTGCGGTTCAGAAGGGTCAGGAGAGCAGCATTTTATTAAGGCTACAATTAAAAGACTTCAACATATCTGGAACAAATACTTCTATCAATAAATCCTGCTTTTTTACACAGCAACAAGGAAGCCATTCCTGCCTGCTGTTCACCTTGCTGGCTGCTGCATGGGTAAAGCTCTGGGGACTGGTGTGTGAGATGAGGTGCATGCAGAAGGCTCTGTGTTCATTTGCATGGAAGAACCGTTGCGTGACTGCCGGGAACGAGAATATCCATGGATGCGATTCTGCAGCTGCCAGAGCCAATTGCAAAATTGCTTTCCATTTCATTGCTGCACACAGAAACCAAGGGAATGAGATAAGAAGG